ATGACTCACAGAAGCAGTCCGCAATAGCTTACATCCACAATGCAATGGCTGAGAAGTACTGGCACATACATTTATAACCATAGCACTAATGTTCTAAGGTGGTTTCCAAGGAAATGCTGTAGTTGACAATCGACCTTAATGCTTATTTTTCCATTTACAAGGCTGAAAAGATTATGATCACATTCAATTAATGCCTTGAATCAGCCATTTAAGTTGTAAAGCACAATTATCAAAAGATGCTGTTACATCCTTCATGAAAGACAATACCACAGTGATAAATTCATTTTCCATCAGAAGCACCTTCTCAAATTCAGTGTGTCTTTTCCTTCAAGTACCATGGATTTGGGTGCTAAATTTTATATGCAACTGGAGGTAAGATTAAGGGCAACTGCTGAGAAGGCTAAAAGCCCTCTTGGTCACTCCAGACACTCATCTGGATGATGATACTTGTTTCTTTTCAAAGAGTAAAAAAAAAAAAAAATAATAACCTGCTAATGGATTTGAATAAAATAACTCTATGCATGGTACTTTAAAAATGTTTTCAAAGCATTTTCATGCCTATTATCTAATTTGATCTTTTTGACAACCCTTGAGGTATGTTGAACAAGTGTATCATTGTAATTTAGTAAGAAAATTGAGGCATAAAGCATTAACTAACTTGTGGGGCTTTAAAGGGAGATGTCAATCTCTATAATAGGCTCTGTCCAGTAATGACAAAAGAAAGTCGAACATGTTTGATGATCTTATTTCAATATATTTTGAGGAACACTTTCACCCCCATACAAACAAATGATAGTGATTCAGTTGCAGCAGCTGTCATGACAAGTTATGGCATGTGAATAATCAGACAAAGCACTAAGAGTTTTTAAAATTCAAATTATAACTGAAAAACAAATCTTAATTCCTAAGATGTGGAAATTCGTTGGTTTATGCCTTTAGGACAACCTAGCTTCACAGTATGAACTGTAATTTTGCCATTTCAGAGAAAAATAATTTTAAAACAAGAAAATTTCAGTTTACCATGACTTGCATTTTTCCCATGGAGAAAAAAAGCAATGGTTTCTCTCCCTTAAAGTGAACTGACACGTATGTTCTTAAAATTAGGTTACCTGTTTATCGTGAGTTAAAACTACCAAAAATGTCCAATTTAGTTACCAAATCTCTGTCCATATAAATGTGAACTGCACTTTGGGAATCTGACAAACTATCACTGCTAAGTTCATTTTAGGGTCACTTAAAATGCTTATTTATCTTCTAAATTAAAGTGACTTATCATATACTTGAAAATTAAGATTTTATGGGGAATTTTAAGACAGGCTTCCAAACCAAGGCCAGAAAATACCAGTCTCTCTGTCTTTGTGTAATTCTGAACATGATTCATCAATGACAAGCTGGTGGCTATTCCCAGTCCTCAATGGCAAGGCATGACCTGCAGGCATTTTAGATGAAAAAGCGGCACCACTGCCCCTATCATCAGCCACTGAAAGCTTCAAGGCAAGAATATCTTTCTCGTAAGAAAATGTGAAACTATCTGAGGTCAATTAACACAATGAGCTGATCTGATATAAGGAAATAATTGAAATGACTTAAGAATGGTCTTACTGTTCTGCTAATCATTATAGAACCCTTTTGTTAATTAGGAAAGAACCCAAAAGGGTGTGTTAACATCTTAGCATTATTTTACCTGTAGTTGTTATATAGTTTCAAAATTGTTTTGCTGTGTCACAATTGTGTATTTATGCTCATAAAAAGTACATGGAAGTGTACCTTATATGAATTATCTTTTTAATTATGTATGCTCGCTGTTTATCTAGAGCTATTAAAAACAGGGCAAGTGGTCATTAGTGAACTCAGAGGGAAAACACAATCTTGAGTTTTATTCTTATTTCATTAACAATGGACAAAAAAAGATCTATTGTCTGGGAATTCCCACAAAATTAAACCACAAATATTGATAAACCAAAAGAATTTCAAAATAAGAAAAATTTCTCATAAAACAAAAATTGAGGTGCTATAATTAAAGACATGAATGATGTATGGAACTGTATAAAAATGTTAAATAACATGGATGCCTTGTGGAAGAATATTTACTATTTTACACATAGATCCCTGAATGTAGTGGAAATTGATAAACTGTATCTTCATCCATGTGTATAAAATTGCTTATAAATTTGACAGCACAAAACAATTATAAAGGAAAATTATCAGAAATGTGATTGTCAAATAAATGTTTTGCAAGGTCACAAAGTCAGAGAAGTGGACCCCTATTCCATCTAGCAAAGTCCATAAATAAAATCCTCTTTGTAAATTTGTCAGATTTTACTATAGTCCTCATTCTAAATTAGTGTGATCTTAATGGCAAACAGAATGCAGAAGATCATCAAGAAGATCATACACCCTGATAAAGTGGGATTTATCCCAGGGATGCAGGGATGGTTCAATATATGCAAATCAATCGATGTAATACACTGTATCAATAGAGCCAAGGAAAAAACCATATGATTATCTCCATAGATGCAGAAAAAGCATTTGACAAAATCCAACATGCATTTATGATAAAAACCCTATAA